CATTGATGTTGATATCCACTTTACCTGGTCTCCTGCTAATTGTCATGACTTCGGTCTTGCTAATACTGATCTTCATGTTATATTTTTCGCAGCTCGCGTTTAGTTGGTTCATATGCTCCTGTAGCTGAGTCTTGTTGTTAATCATTGCCAGGTCGTCTGCAAACATGAGTTCGTTGAGTGCCTTCTTCATCTTCTTCTTCTTCTGGCTGGCCTCCGTTAGGAGGGCAGCAGTCTGCCGCAGGCAGACAGGTAAGCGGCAACCTCTTGTGGCCTCGTCCAGAGTACATCCGGGCCCGGTCTCGCGATGTTCTCCATAAGTAGGCCTCGATGTGCTTCCCCCCGCGGGCACTCATACAGTGCGTGCTGCAGGTCGTAAGGACTTGTGCCACACGCCAGACAGGAATCATTGGGAGCTGAGCCTATTGCATGGAGATACGTCTGCAGGATGGGGCTCTTTGTGTTGCATCTTAGCTGCGATAACATTCTTTTCTGTCTGACGGTAAGGTCTTTCTCTTTGTCCCTCTCGGGTGGTGGCTTCACCTTTCCCCCGACGGAGTCGTGCACTCGCGCTTTCTCCCATGCGCGGGCAATGATGTAACGCGAGGTGCACAAGCTTGCTGACGCAATATCGACTGGAGTGTTGGACTGGTCGAGGCGGCCTCCCTTGTTGGCCAGGGCGTCAGCTCGGTCGTTCCCGTAGATGTCGCAATGTCCTGGTATCCATTGTATGTGAAGGTGTACGTGGATTTCACAGCATTGGCAGATAGTGGTCCACATTTTGTCCTCTATCTCAGTACGAACTGCAGTCACTCCGGACATTAAGTGTTGATCGTTGAGTGCCTCTGGGTCTGGATTGGCCTCTTTTGTTATCTGGTCCATGTAGATCACGAAGAGCAGAGGGGAGAGATTGCAGCCCTGTCTCACTCCGGATGCTACTGGAAACCTGTCCGATGTTCCACTGGTAGTTCGGACAGCGCTTCTGCTGTTGGCATAGATAGCCCTGATGTTGTCTAGCAGTTGTCCCTTGATGTCGTACTGCTCTAAGATCTTCCATAGCTTGTTTCTATTTACTCGATCAAAGGCTTTTTCTTGATCCACAAATACGAGGTGGAGATCTTTGTTGTATTCCAAAGCCCTCTCACACAGTTGTCGGAGTGCGAAGATTGCATCAGTGCACCCTCTTCCTTTTCTAAAGCCAAATTGGGCGTCACTGAGAAGATGTTCGGTTTTTGCGCGAGTACGTCGCTCTAGGATTTTTGCATACATTTTCCCAACATGGCTGAGAAGAGATATGCCTCTATAGGTGTTGCAGTCTTTCTTGCTGCCCTTTTTCTTCCATATTGGCACCACTATCGCATTTTGCCAGTCTGCTAGCACTTTTCTTTCTTTCCATGCTTTTTGAAAGATGATTGTAAGCCAATGTATTCCGGTTTCGCCGCATGCAAGGATGGCTTCAGTTGTGATGCCATCGTCTCCAGCTGCCTTGTTCTTTGGACTAGTTTTCAGTGCTTCTCTCACTTCACTCTCCAGGATGGTAGGTTCTGAGTGCTCAGGGTAGTTGGCGGTGAATGGGCACTGTGTGTTTTGTGCCTGTACTCCTGATGGGTTTAGTAGTTCTTGAAAATATTCTTCCCATCTTTTTATTATTTCTTTCTCTTCGTGCAGAGCTTCTCCATTAGTATCGTTGATGACAGTGGTGGGTACATAGGGTTCGTCTCTCGCTCTCATTGTCTTCACCTTCTTGTAGAACTCTCTTGGTGCAGAGCTTCTCCATTAGTATCGTTGATGACAGTGGTGGGTACATAGGGTTCGTCTCTCGTTCTCATTGTCTTCACCTTCTTGTAGAACTCTCTTGGTGAGGTCTTGCAGGTTTCTCTTAGTTTTTCGCCATACTGGGTCCATGACTTTTCTTTTGATGTTATAACGACTTTCTTGCTGTGTCTTCTTGCAAGTCTATATTTAATGTAGTCCTCTTCGTTTTTTGACTTGACCCATACATTATACAGTCTCTTTTTCTCCTTGATAGCATCTTTAACTTCTTCGTTCCTCCAGGCTGTTGCTTTTCTGTGTTTTCCTCTTGTTTTCTTGGTACCACAGACTTCTTTCA